ACCATTTGTACAATTTTTAATCACCACCACCTAGAGATGCTTCCAGTCAAATATGGTTGATATCCACTTCTTAGTTTCAGAGAAGAAGTCGCTTAAAGCAATATGGGCAAATTGACCCCTTTTGGCCCCGCCCCACAGCCCCCTGGGGGGTCAGCCCCACCATTTGTACAATTTTGAATCCCCACCACCTAGGGATGCTTCCAGTCAAATTTACTTTAATTCCAACCAGTGGTTAAGAAGAAGAAGTCGTTTAAAGAAATTGTTGATGTACAGACGGACGGACGACGGACGGATGACGGACGCCACGGTATGGCATAAGCTCACCTTGGTCCTTCGGACCAGGTGAGCTAATAATTTAGATTATATTTATGATATTAAGAGAGGAATCACACTGCATTCTATCAATGTTTACATTGACTGAGGATCTGACTGAAAGCACTGGAAATGAGTGGTAGCTAAAGGCTTTGGTACACATTGTAGAAAGACCTGTCATGTCCGATGAGACAACACAACCCCTAAATATTAAGTCTGATGTCCAGTCGTTTTGTCTCATCTGCAGCAGGGTTAAATATTTTGAATCTACTTAAGTTAGTTAACAGCGCCCATGGTCATTTGTTTACACTCACAGCGACAGGGTCCACAGCTACTATTATGGCACTGAACACCAGGCAGGGGATGAGTTCTAGGTCTACATTTCCCATGGCTCCAATTTTGGCTAGTCCGTAGATAGTTGGACCTGTAAAAATACTAGTTATCAGAACAACAATTACATAAATACAGCATTATACTTTTCGTATCCAAACCCTGCAACATTATGAGACATGAATAGTTGAGACAAATAATCTCATTGATCAAACCCTGTAAAAAGTCTTTAATCAACCATGTATGAACAGTCTTATTCAAACCTTGCAACATCCAGACATCCAGGCATAGATGAAACAAATCTAAATCAATCCCTTTATAAAAAGTCTTAATTAACCCCAGTATAAAAAGTCTTAATCAACCCCTGTATAAACTAGAAGTCTTAATCAACCCCAGTATAAATAGTCTTAATCAACCCCTGTATAAAAAGTCTTAATCAACCCCTGTATAAAAAGTCTTAATCAACCCCTGTATAAACTAGAAGTATTAATCAACCCCTGTATACACTAGAAGTCTTAATCAACCCCTGTATAAACTAGAAGTCTTAATCAACCCCTGTATAAAAAGTCTTAATCAACCCCTGTATAAAAAGTCTTAATCAACCCCTGTATAAAAAGTCTTAATCAATCTATGTGTCATCCATGCAGACACACCTATATATAAAACAAAGTCTTAATCACACCATGAATAAACAATCTAAACACACCACAGTATATATAAGCAGTCGTCATCCTACCCTGCAACATCCAGATGTCTATAGTTCAGACAAATTCTTATTCAAAATCTCTATAAACAGTTTAATTAAATATTGTATAAAAAAATCTTCATCCAACCCTGCAACATCCATACATAAGACAAGTCTTCATCAAATTCTGTATATGTCTTATCTAAACTCTATAAAAATAGTCTTAATCAAACCTTGCAACATCCAGACATCCATAGATAAGTCAGTCTTAATCAAACCTGTGTAAATAGTCTTAATCAAACCTTGCAACATCCAGACATCCATAGATTAATCAGTCTTAATCAAACCCTATATGTACAGTCTTATTTAAACCCTATAAAAAAGGGTCTTTATCAGACTGTATATTAATCAAACCCTGTATAAATAGTCTTAATCAAACCCTATATGTACAGTCTTATTTAAACCCTATAACAAAGGGTCTTTATCAACCCTTACAACATCCAGACATCCATAGGTAAGACTGTATATTAAATCAAACCCTGTATAAATAGTCTTAAAATCAAACCCAGCATCATCCAGACATCCATAATAGAAGATAAGACAAAGTCTTAATCTGAAGCTCTGTATTAACAATCTTAGTCAAACCCTGTATTAACAGGACAATGATATGCTAGTGTGTATTTGTTATACGTTTTTTGTATTAGGAATGTTGAGTATTATACCAAAACAATTAGAGTACACGTATTTATCAGTTTATGATACGCTCAACAGCAGTCTATACTGTATCTAATACATTATATATTACACATTAACAAGCTTTTAATGACACTCTGTCATCTCCTTACACCTTTAACAGCAAAACTACTGAGACTAATTTGCCCTGCTTAAGGCAGTTAATTGATAAATAGCATCCCATGGGGGTTATAAATAACCAATCAATACTCTAGAATTGATCATGTGATCCAGACTAATTAATGGAAAAGGGAATCAGTCTCGCTAGAAAAGTTTAATGGATTGTGACAATATTGATTTTCGATTGAGGAAATGTAGTGTACCAATTGAAAGCCGCTAATTTTTGGATAGATTGAACAAATCATGATGAACACGTTAGGTTTAGGTGCACTACCGTAATTGATTAATTAACCAACTAGTTATCTGTCGGATGGCCATGTTTTCAGGATATGCTATTTTTAGCTTAATAGTTTTTTAAGAAAACTAGAATGATGACACAGAATCAGTAAGGGACTAAGCATACATGGATACCACTATATAACAACGTATGGAAGTCATGAAACATACTTTAAAATATCATAAATGTATGCTTGCCTTAGTTATTACCCAATGTAGACAGGCTCTGTTACTGGAAAATACTTACCTATCAAGAAGCAGTTCAAGATCGTTCCCTGAAAATAAAGGAAAAATTCTCAGTATAAAGACTTTCTTACAGAGAGCTGGATAAGATAAATGCTGAGGACGCCTGTCTACCAAGGACACTTGTGACTCTGGAAACAGTGTCTTATTTTAACAGGTTGTTATGCAGTGTGGTCTACACACAGTAGTCCCCTGGCATACCGTCCTCCGTTCTATTGCCAACCCAACATACCGCCATGATTTTGTTTGAAACATTTTCCCCTACTATATAAAACCTTAATAATACCGCCTATCACCATCTGTCAAACATTTTCAAATAGAAAACTAGACCTCATCACCACTATTTACATTTTTTTAGTCTCAGCTGTTGATCCAACTGTCGAGGTGTCAGTCAAGCGTGTACAATCCACCTGTCAAGGTGTCAGTCAAGCATGTATGATCCACCTGTCAAGGTGTCAGTCAAGCATGTTGGATCCACCTGTCGAGGTGTCAGTCAAGCATGTATGATCCTCCTGTCAAGGTGTCAGTCAAGCATGTATGATCCGCCTGTCAAGGTGTCAGTCAAGCATGTAGGATCCCCCTGTCAAGGTGTAAGTCAAGCATATAGGATACACCTGTCAAGGTGTCAGTCAAGCATGTAGGATCCCCCTGTCAAGGTGTCAGTCAAGCATGTAGGATCCACCGGTCAAGGTGTCAGTCAAGCATGTAGGATCCACCTGTCGAGGTGTCAGTCAAGCATGTAGGATCCACCTGTCAAGGTGTAAGTCAAGCATATAGGATCCACCTGTCAAGGTGTCAGTCAAGCATGTAGGATCCACCTGTCGAGGTGTCAGTCAAGCATGTATGATCCACCTGTCGAGGTGTCAGTCAAGCATGTAGGATCCACCTGTCAAGGTGTAAGTCAAGCATATAGGATCCACCTGTCAAGGTGTCAGTCAAGCATGTAGGATCCACCTGTCAAGGTGTCAGTCAAGCATGTAAGATCCACCTGTCAAGGTGTTAGTCAAGCAGGTACAATCCAACTGTCAAGGTGTCAGTCAAGCATGTAGGATCCACCTGTCAAGGTGTCAGTCAAGCATGTAGGATCCACCTGTCAAGGTGTCAGTCTAGCATGATCGATCCACCTGTTGAGGTGTCGGTCAAGCATTTACAATCCACCTGTCCAGGTGTCAGTCAAGCATGTATGATCCACCTGCACATGCACTCACCTCAAATGTGTGAATGTGGTTTGTGGCTATTGTTTTTACAGTTTGTATGTCAAATTCGTAAGGAAGACGCCCAAGAAAAAACATTAATCAAGCTTAAAATTAAAACAGGAGAGAAGAGAATATGCAGTTGATTGTCCAATATTTTCCTTACATGAAATAACCATTATTTTACAACACTATGGAGAACAACAAACTGCTGGCAACATCTGTCACAGGAAAGACCTCTCGATCTCCCAGAGGATACTCTGTGACCCCTTCCCTTATAATCAGTCTGCGATGCACACCGACATGGTGGAAGCTTTGTTTGTGTGGTTCACAAATACAAGGTTCCAGAATATTCCTGTCACTGACAATATTTTGAAGAAAAAGCTTGTTGATTTGGTGAAGAATTTGGGGTCACAGGTGTTCAATGTTTGAATGGCTGGTTGTATGACATCTCGTGTGATTATATCTGGAGAGAGTTCAGGAGTTGATGAGAATGTGATTAAAAATGGTAGACACAGGGTGAAAACTGCTATGAGCTGAAAAAATATGTTTAATCTTGATGAGACCGCCCTGTTTTACAGCATGCTTCCGGATCGTTCTTTGGCTACAGCTTAATCTAACAAGGGTATCAAAAATAAAAAGGACCGTTTCACAGTCGCCTCATGTGTAATAGTGACGGAACAGAGAAATTAAAACCATTTATTATAGGAAATAGTATGAATCTTAAATGCTTCAAACATTTCAATGTTAAACTTTTCGCAGATTTACACAGCAAATAGAAGAGCTTTGATGACTCCACTCCTGTATAGGTGACCTGTGAAACAAGAGGCCCAATGGGCCTGCATCGCTCACCTGTTATTAATCTCACAATTGTTACCTTAAAAGTGGTCTAAAATATAGCTACAGGCAAATTATCAGTGTCTTGACTTCAAGTCATTCAGAAGTACCTGTTAAACGATTAAAACACATTTGAACCCTGTGATCTTGAATAGTCAAACATGGACATTAAGTTGAACACCACCTTATACCTTTTGTTTATTAAGAAGATAACTTTTAAAACATTTATGCACTATGAACCAGATGTGACCATGAAAGTATGTCAAGGTCATTCACATTAACAAGCAATCACCATGTATTCTTTAGTTATTCCGAAGAAGTCGTTTCAAGATTTCAACATATTTGAGCCTTGTGACCTTGAATATGGGCAAACTTGGTAGCCCTTCATAACAACATCCTTCTGGCCAAATATCACCAACCTGGACACTTTGGCTACACAAAAGAAGTTGTTTAAAGGTTTTTAAGACAATTGACCCATGTAACCTTGAATATAAGTGAAGGTCATTTGTTTGAACAAACTTGGTAGCCCTTCATACCATCATCCTTGTGGCGAAATATCATCACCCTGGAGCTTTTGATTATTCAGAAGAAGTTCTTTAAATATTTCAACATATTTGACCCCTGTGGCCTTGAATATTGGCAAAGGTTATTCATTTGAACAAACTTGGTAGTGCTTCATCTCAGCATGCTAATGGCCAAATATCATCATCCTGGGCCTTCTGGTTATTCAAAAGAAGTTGTTAAAAGATCTTAACATATTTGACCCCTGTGACCTTGAATATGGGCAAAGGTCCTTCATTTGAACAAACTTGGTAGCCCTTCATTCATGCATGCTACTGGCCAAATATAATCACCCTGAAGCTTTTGGTCATTCAGAAGTTGTTTAAATATTTCAATATATTTGACCCCTGTGACGTTAAATATAGGTGAAGGTCATTCATTTAAACAAACTTGGTAGCCCTTTATCCAAGCATGCTACTGGCAAAATATCAACACCCTAAACCTCTTGGTTATTTAAAAGAAATTGTTTAAAAGTTTAAACATATTTGACCCCCCTGTGACCTTGAATATGTGCGAAGGTAATTCATTTGAACAAACTTGGTCGTGCTTTATCCTAGCATGCTACTGGCCAAATATTATCATCCTGGGTCTTCTAGTTATTCAGAAGAAATTGTTTAAAGTTTTTAACATATTTGACCCCTGTGACTTTGAAAATGGGCAAAGATCATTCATTTGAACAAACTTGCTAGCCCTTCATCCCAGCATGCTACTTGCCAAATATCATCAGCCTGTGTCTCTTGGTTTTTCAGAAGAAGTTGTTTTAAGTAAAAAGTTGACACCGGTCGGACGGACGACGAAAACCGCACCATGCCATAAGCTTATTATATTAGCCCTTCGGGGCAGGTGAGCTTAAAACGTGCTTAGGTATTGCTTCTAATGGACAACGATGGATCCGACCCCATACCACATTGATCAAATGTCACCGTACATTTCTTTCTGCCAACAGTGAGGCATTGTGCATTGAGATGATGTCAATCAATCATCCGTTGTGCCTTATATATAATTGGTCTCAGTGGAGTTATTGCTCATGTTCAAATCCATAAATGCGTTAGACTATTTGCAAATTTTAAGAATTGTATCAGGGTGCAGAGTACAGTGAACACATGACAGAAGATGACATTGCGTCATTTTTGAGAGCAGCCACTGATTATGATATATAATACTTCAAATGATGACGACACTGATACAGTACAGACACTGGCAAAGGTGTTCGGCATCTTGTTCCACTGCAAAATAGCCATGGCAAAGGTAATTAATCTACTTTGAATCACAACACGACTGACAAGACATGAAATGTTTAAATGACCCGAGATACAAAATGTTCCAACAAAACAACCTACTTTGGACATGTTTTTCTCAGGGAAAATCTAAAACCTGCAACGACCATATGTATCTGCGCTCTACATCCCAGTCTGGGTTACAAATCAGTGAATTTGATTATAGTTGTAAATTATTAACTAATGATTAAAAAGCTACAAATGATACATATTATTTGTCTAAATCTGTTTCAAAATAAATACACGAGTAATTTGTATCTGCAGTGTTTGTTTCACATATACATGTATATAATGTATTACTGCCCATTACTGACAAAATCATATCTACGAAATCCAACATTTTGTATTAGTGATGACTGAACGAACTAAAAGCGTAGCCATTCTTGCCCATCGTCCATTTCCACCCAATAAAGGGACAAATTTTAGGTATAATGTATTACTGCAAAATAGAATCATTATTTTGTTTCCCCAATTTTTACTTGCACCCTTGAATGACCTTTTCTATTTAACTTTGGATCAAAGTGTTTTTGATTCTTAAGAATTAATTTGAATAGTATATGGTAACACATCTGACCCCTGTAAGTGGACTATTGGTTGACATCATTTGTCTTTCTAGTCTGACCAAAATTAATTGATATTTAATTGCCCTTTTTTTTTTTTTTTTAAATCTATATATATAAAATCAATATACTCACACACACTAACATATTTATATCAAATTCAATGATATTTCGGACAGATATTGTTTAATATTCACTAACGATAAACACTCGCACAATTCCTCATGTAATGTACGGGACAAAAACTCCAGATTCAGTTATCACAATGTAACATTCAAAGATTGAAAAAGCGTCTGATGTTCTCAATTAACATGATCAGATTATGTCAGAGGAAAATAAGATTTGTGCTCGGGAGAGACTGCAGGATACTTGACTGTCATGCTTCAGCGTTAAGGGATTAGTCTGTGGCGGCTTTCGGTGTAATAACGGATTAGCATGCTCCCAGTATTGGATATCTTCTACACATGGTACCTGTCACGCTAAACAGTCGTAATATTCACCGAGATAAATATATATATGACTGCACTGGCTCTATGACGGATACTGATAAGGATTTTGTCCTGACCAAGTTCCATTATTGCCGATTAATTTAATGGCATTTTCT